TTTAAAACAGTTCTTTTAAGAACTATGATCTTATAATATTGGGATATTTATATACATATAACCCTGAATATTTTGGATTTGAGATTTCTATAGATTGCAATATATATATATTTTTTATCAGTGGTCAAATCTGTTAGACTACGGGGACGAAAAGGTCTAGTGGCATAGGTCGTGGGAAGTATTTTACAATGGAGAATGGGGAACAATTTGTGATGATGGCTGGGATTTGAACGATGCTCAAGTTGTTTGTCAACAACTTGGTTATGACTATCTAGTGGCTTTACAAGGAGGTTATGTTCTTATGGCAGTGGAAGAATATGGTTAGACGATCTTCGTTGTGTAGGAAATGAAAATAATATTTCGAGTTGTTTACATAGTGGATGGGGATCACATGATTGTAAACATGATGAAGATGCTGGTACATTGTTCAGGTTTGTATGTGCATTATTTACCTTTTTCAAAATTATTTAAAAATGTTGCTCGTTATTCCAACTACGCGTCATGGAGTCAAAATAATTAAATTGACTAATCCTGTCCTTTGCCGACAAAAGCATTACGTGTTTAATCTGTCTCTGTTTTAAGTGTCATCTCTAAAAATAGGGATGACATTGACCTTTTGTAACATTTCAAATATAGCAGGATTTGGAAGTTCTCATTTAGCAAAGGTTGACACCTGACGAGTAGTCTGCCAAAATGCCAATAGTGTTCTTTCTAGCTGTAAATAACGGTTCCTTTGAATTGTTGTGTTAATTTTCTGGTTAAAACAATACTTTTAAGAACTATTACATTGTTATTATCACCATTCACCATTGTAGTCGCTCTTTAAAATCCATTTTAAGTTTGTCACCACGAAAAAGTTCTGTTTAATTTTGTAACTTAGAATATTTCGGAGTTGAGACTTCTGTGTTTTGCAATATCTATTTATTTTCTTTTTTATCAGATTTCAACTCTGTTAGACTTCGGGGACCAAAAGTTCTATTGGCAGAGGTCGAAATATTTTACAATGGAGAATGGGAACAATTTGTGATGATGGCTGGGATTTAAACGATGCTAAAGTTGTTTGTCGACAACTTGGTTATGACTATGCTGTCAGGGCTTTCAAGGAGGTTATGTTCCTTATGGCAGTGGAAGAATATGGTTAGACGATCTTTGTTGTGCAGGAAATGAAAATAATATTTCGAGTTGTTCACATAGTGGATGGGGATCACAAAATTGTACACATGATGAAGATGCTGGTGCAATGTTCAGGTTTGTATGTACATTATTTACCTTTTATACAACGATAATAAACTGAATTATTTGGGGGATCCTCAATGATGAATTTAAAAATTTAATATGATTTTATAATACTGAAACAGATATTGTTAAAGCCTGAAGGATAAACACAGCTTCGGACGTAAATTAACTAAATAAATACAAATTGTTCCACTAGGACATAATTGAAAATAACCTATTTTATGATTGCCCAAAAAGATTAGATAATACCAGAGAAAAGGCAGCCCATTGACCATATTTTCCTTGGAGGAATGTGATAATCCTTATATTATCAGTTTTGTTACGATTGTTTACATTCATTATCGCTTTTTGAAGCTGTAGGCTGAGCTTATGAACTCCATTAAATTTTTTTGCATATTTAAAAGATTATCTCTAAATTTACATTGGGTGTAACATTAAGTCTTGTAATGGCGTGCTGTCTATCTTAAAAATTCATTTCTAAATTCGTTTTTATTGACCGTTATGGTTTAGCAAAAGCCATGCCTAGAGAATATTAGAAACGTATTTGAATAATTAAAGACAGTTATTTTAATAACGATAAAGATTCCCGTTGTAAACGAAGAGTCTATGTAAACAATTTACTGTTTATTTTTTGCTTGTTTCAACAAGTTATGGTGCAGTGTTGCCTATGGCAATAAAGTCAAATTAATGAATGGAAAACCAATGGGAAAATTCACAAATAAAGGGTTAAGAAGTTATTTATATTACATAAAGAATAAAGACTGGTCTAAATAAAAGTTTTTATACTCATGAAAGTAAAATAGTGTCTAATTGTCCAAAGTTTTTATATTGTACTTCTTAATATTTTTTATCAATTTTGTCACTAATTTAAATCATTAAATTTGCCCAAGAAGATTATACAATGGCATCTAACGTAACAGCATACTTTATATGTATACATGTAACTTAGAATATTTCGGAGTTGAGACTTCTGTGTTTTGCAATATCTCTTTATTTTCTTTATCAGTTTTCAACTATGTTAGACTTCGGGGACCAAAACGTCTAGTGGCATAGGTCGTGTGGAAGTATTTTACAATGGAGAATGGGGAACAATTTGTGATGATGGCTGGGATTTGAACGATGCTAAAGTTGTTTGTCGACAACTTGGTTATGACTATGCTGTCAGGGCTTTCAAGGAGGTTATGTTCCTTATGGCAGTGGGAAGAATATGGTTAGATGATGTTCGTTGTGTAGGAAATGAAGATAATATTTCGAGTTGTTCACATAGAGGATGGGGATCACATAATTGTCACATGATGAAGATGCTGGTGTAGAATGTTCAGGTTTGTATGTACATTATTTACTTTTTATACAAAGATAATAAACTGAATTATTTGGGGGATACTCAATGATTAATTTAAACATTTAATATGGTTTTATAATACTGAAATAGATATTGACAAATGCCTATTTTTAGAGATGACACTTAAACTAGAGACAGATTAAACACGTAATCCGTAAATCTAGCCATTTTCAGCTCAACATGATACAAACAACTGTCAGTGGTACTTTCGCCCGTTTTGAGAGGTTTTCAAAATACGCTTTAAAAGACTCTTTCACCTTTTACTGATGAGCTTAAAAACAAAAATTTTTCAATGTATTCTAATCTAACGGTGTGTTCGTTTGATGTAACTAGTGTCTTCACTAATGCCCTTAGAAGAAACCATTGAAATTTGTTCAAAATCTTTTCACTCGGACATGACTTTACCTGACATGTCTGAGAATGCATTTAGAGAACTAATGATGTGCCACAAAGGGTGTGGAGTTTAGTTTTGATGACACCATGTATAAACAAATTGACGGAAAGTGGCTATGGGTTCTCCACTTGACCGGTTCTTGCGAAAATATTTCTGTTGGCTATCATAAATGCAAAATGCTTGCATCTTCAGATTGTCCGATGTGCTGTGGCATAAGCGTTATGTGGATGACACCTTTTCTTTGTTTCATAAGGATATAAATCGTGAACTTTTTCTTAATAAACTTTGCTCTCTTCACCCTGCACTAAATACACCTCTGAACTAGAGTCAAACAATCAATTAGCTTTTTAGTGTTCTGTACACAAATGCAATGATCAGTTCTTAACAAGCATTCATCGCAAAGCAACTTTCACTGGTCTGTACACACGCTTTAACTCTTTCTCGCATAGAGAAAGATTTCTTTTGTGAAGTTTTTGATAAAGCGATTGCATAGAATGTTCCAAAAGAGTTTATTTATAGTGATCTTATCTCACTGAAGAGTATTTTTGTGTTGAATGGATATCCGGAAATTTGCTAGACAAACTTTTCTTATCCAATAACAATGAACGGAATAAACTTTTGGAACGGCCAAGTGCCCTGTTTTCCTTAAAATTCCCTGGATGGGTAAGGCCTCTAATGACATCGAGAAGGAAACTAAAATATCACTGAGAGTTTGTTTTTGCATGTAATGTGGTCTTTATTCTAAAGAACAATTCTTCCACCACTCCCAAAGAGTTTCGCTGCTCAAATTTCAAGCAATGTAGTCTACGAGTTTAAATGTGAGTGTGATGCTGGATTTTTATATAGGACTTCTTAAAGGTTGAGTGAAAGAAAAAAAAAGTATGTACCATCTTCTGTCAGGAATGAAACTGTTCCTTTACGACAACTACCAAAACGTGGGTGTAAAAGTGAAATTACGATTCTATGAGATTCAGCTATTGGAAAACATCTTTTAAGCAACACTCGCTGTGCCAATGCTTATTTTGATGAAAACTTTAAAATTATTAAAAAATGTCGCTCGTTATTCCAGCTACGCGTCATGGAGTCGGTATTAATTAAATTGACTAATCCTGTCCTTTGCCGACAAAAGCATTACGTGTTTAATCCGTCCCTGTTTTAAGTGTCATTTCTAAAAATAGGGATGACATTGTCCTTTTGTGACATTATAAATATAGCATGATTTGGAGGTTCTCATTTAGCAGACGTTGACACCTGACGAGTAGTCTGCCGAAATGCATAGTGTCTCTTTCTAGCTGTAAAACCGGTTCCTTTGAATTGTTGTGTTAATGTTCTGGTTAAAACAGTTTTTTAAGAACTATTACATTGTTAATATCACCATTCACCATGGTAGTCGCTATTTTAAAATCCATCTTTAAGTCTGTCAACACGACAAAGTCTCTGTTTCATCATGTAACTTAGAATATTTCGGAGAGACTTCTGTGTTTTGCAATATCTATTTATTTTCTTTTTTATCAGATTTCAACTTTGTTAGACTTCGGGGACCAAAAAGTTCTAGAGGCATAGGTCGTGTGGAAATATTTTACAATGGAGAATGGGGAACAATTTGTGATACTGGCTGGGATTTAAACGATGCTAAAGTTGTTTGTCGACAACTTGGTTATGACTATGCTGTCAGGGCTTTCCAAGGAGGTTATGTTCCTACGGCAGTGGAATATGGTTAGACGATTCGTTGTGTAGGAAATGAAAATAATATTTCGAGTTGTTCACATAGTGGATGGGGATCACAAAATTGTACACATGATGAAGATGCTGGTGTACAATGTTCAGGTTTGTATGTACATTATTTACCTTTTATACAAAGATAATAAACTGAATTATTTGGGGGATCTCAATGATGAATTTAAACATTTAATATGATTTTATAATACTGAAACAGATATTGACAAAGCCTGAAGGATAAACACAGCTTCGGACGTAAAATTAACTAAATAAACACAACTTGTTCCACTAGGACATAATGAAAATAACCTATTTTATGACTGCCCATAAAAGATTAGATAATACCAACAAAAAGGCAGCCCATTGACCATATTTTCCATGGAGGAATGTGATAATCCTTATATTATCAGTTTTGTACGATTGTTTACATTCATTATCGCTTTTGAAGCTGTAGGCTGAAGCTTATGAACTCCATTAAATTTTTCCATATTTAAAAGATTATCTCTAAATTTACATTGCGGTGTAACATTAAGTTTTGTAATGGCGTGCTGTCTATCTTAAAATTCATTTCTAAATTTGTTTTTATTGACCGTTATGGTTTAGCTAAAGACATGCCTAGAGAATAGTAGAAACGTATTTGTGAATAATTAAAAGACAGTTATTTTATAATAACGATAAAGATACCCATGTTGCAAACGAAGAGTCTATGTAAACAATTTACTGATTATTTTTTGCTTGTTTCAACAACTTATGGTGCAGTGTTGCCTTAGGGCAATAAAGTCAAATTAATGAATGGAAAACCAATGGGAAAATTCACAAAATAAAGGGTTAAGAAGTTATTTATATTACATAAAGGAATAAAGACTGGTCTAAATAAAAAGTTTTTTATACTCAGGAAAGTAAAATAGTGTCTAATTGTCCAAAGTTTTTTATATTGTACTTCTTTAATATTTTTTATCAATTTTTGTCACTAATTTAAATCATTAAATTTGCCCAAGAAGATTATACAATGGCATCTAGCGTAACAGCATACTTTATATGTATACATGTAACTTAGAATATTTCGGAGTTGAGACTTCTGTGTTTTGCAATATCTCTTTATTTTCTCTTTTATCAGTTTTCAACTATGTTAGACTTCGGGACCAAAACGTCTAGTGGCATAGGTCGTGTGGAAGTATTTTACAATGGAGAATGGGGAACAATTTGTGATGATGGCTGGGATTTGATCGATGCTAAAGTTGTTTGTCGACAACTTGGTTATGACTATGCTGTCAGGCTTTCCAAGGAGGTTATGTTCCTATGGCAGTGGAAGAATATGGTTAGATGATGTTCGTTGTGTAGGAAATGAAGATAATATTTCGAGTTGTTCACATAGAGGATGGGGATCACATAATTGTCAACATGATGAAGATGCTGGTGTAGAATGTTCAGGTTTGTATGTATATTATTTACTTTTTTATACAAAGATAATAAACTGAATTATTTGGGGGATACTCAATGATTAATTTAAACATTTAATATGGTTTTATAATACTGAAATAGATATTGACAAATGCCTATTTTAGAGATGACACTTAAACTAGAGACAGATTAAACACGTAATCCGTAAATCTAGCCATGATTATTTCAGCTCAACATGAGCTAGCCAAACAACTGTCAGTGGTACTTTCGCCCGTTTTGGAGAGGTTTTCAAAATACGCTTTAAAAGACTCTTTCACTTTTACTGATGAGCTTAAACAACAAAATTTTTCAATGTATTCTAATCTAACGTGTGTTCTTTGATGTAACTAGTGTCTTCACTAATGTGCCCTTAGAAGAAACCATTGAAATTTGTTCTCAAAATCTTTTTCACTCGGACATGACTTTACCTGACATGTCTGAGAATGCATTTAGAGAACTAATGATGGTGCCACAAAGGGTGTGGAGTTTAGTTTTGATGACACCATGTATAAACAAATTGACGGAGTGGCTATGGGTTCTCCACATGGACCGGTTCTTGCGAAAATATTTCTGTTGGCTATCATAAATGCAAAATGCTTGCATCTTCAGATCGTCCGGATGTGCTGTGGCATAAGCGTTATGTGGATGACACCTTTTCTTTGTTTCATAAGGATATAAATCGTGAACTTTTTCTTAATAAACTTTGCTCTCTTCACCCTGCACTAAAATACACCTCTGAACTAGAGTCAAACAATCAATTAGCTTTTTTAGTCGTTCTTGTACACAAATGCAATGATCAGTTCTTAACAAGCATTCATCGCAAAGCAACTTTCACTGGTCTGTACACACGCTTTAACTCTTTCTCTTCGCATAGAGAAAAGATTTCTTTTGTGAAGTTTTTGATAAAGCGATTGCATAGAATGTTCTCAAAAGAGTTTATTTATAGTGATCTTATCTCACTGAAGAGTATTTTTGTGTTGAATGGATATCCGGAAATTTTGCTAGACAAACTTTTCTTATCCAATAACAATGAACGGAATAACTTTGGAACGGCCAAGTGCCCTGTTTTCCTTAAATTCCCTGGATGGGTAAGGCCTCTAATGACATCGAGAAGGAAACTAAAAATATCACTGAGAGTTTGTTTTTGCATGTAATGTGGTCTTTATATTCTTAAAAAGAACAATTCTTCCACCCACTCCCAAAGAGTTTCTCGCTGCTCAAATTTCAAGCAATGTAGTCTACGAGTTTAAATGTGAGTGTGATGCTGGATTTTTATATAGGACTTCTTAAAGGTTGAGTGAAAGAAAAAAAAAGTATGTACCATCTTCTGTCAGGAATGAAACTGTTCCTTTACGACAACTACCAAAACGTGGGTGTAAAAGAAATTACGATTCTATGAGATTCAGCATTGAAAACATCTTTTAAGCAACACTCGCTGTGCCAATGCTTATTTTGATGAAAACTTTAAAATATTAAAAATGTCGCTCGTTATTCCAGCTACGCGTCATGGAGTCGGTATTAATTAAATTGACTAATCCTGTCCTTTGCCGACAAAAGCATTACGTGTTTAATCCGTCCCTGTTTTAAGTGTCATTTCTAAAAATAGGGATGACATTGTCCTTTTGTGACATTATAAATATAGCATGATTTGGAGGTTCTCATTTAGCAGACGTTGACACCTGACGAGTAGTCTGCCGAAATGCATAGTGTCTCTTTCTAGCTGTAAAACCGGTTCCTTTGAATTGTTGTGTTAATGTTCTGGTTAAAACAGTTTTTTAAGAACTATTACATTGTTAATATCACCATTCACCATGGTAGTCGCTATTTTAAAATCCATCTTTAAGTCTGTCAACACGACAAAGTCTCTGTTTCATCATGTAACTTAGAATATTTCGGAGTTGAGACTTCTGTGTTTTGAAATATCTATTTATTTTCTTTTTTTATCAGTTTTCAACTCTGTTAGACTTCGGGGACCAAAAAAGTCTAGTGGCATAGGTCGTGTGGAAGTATTTTACAATGGAGAATGGGGAACAATTTGTGATGATGGCTGGGATTTAAACGATGCTAAAGTTGTTTGTCGACAACTTGGTTATGACTATGCTGTCAGGGCTTTCCAAGGAGGTTATGTTCCTTACGGCAGTGGAAGAATATGGTTAGACGATTCGTTGTGTAGGAAATGAAAATAATATTTCGAGTTGTTCACATAGTGGATGGGGATCACAAAATTGTACACATGATGAAGATGCTGGTGTGCAATGTTCAGGTTTGTATGTACATTATTTACCTTTTATACAAAGATAATAAACTGAATTATTTGGGGGATCCTCAATGATGAATTTAAACATTTAATATGATTTTATAATACTGAAACAGATATTGACAAAGCCTGAAGGATAAACACAGCTTCGGACGTAAATTAACTAAATAAACACAACTTGTTCCACTAGGACATAATTGAAAATAACCTATTTTATGACTGCCCATAAAAGATTAGATAATACCAACAAAGAAGTCCATTGACCATATTTTCCATGGAGGAATGTGATAATCCTTATATTATCAATTTTGTGACGATTGTTTACATTCATTATCGCTTTTGAAGCTGTAGGCTGAAGCTTATGAACTCCATTAAATTTTTTTGCATATTTAAAAGATTATCTCTAAATTTACATTGCGGTGTAATATTAAGTTTGTAATGGCGTGCTGTCTATTTTAAAAATTCATTTCTAAATTTGTTTTTATTGACCGTTATGGTTTAGCTAAAGACATGCCTAGAGAATAGTAGAAACGTATTTGTGAATAATTAAAAGACAGTTATTTTATAATAACGATAAAGATACCCATGTTGTAAACGAAGAGTCTATGTAAACAATTTACTGATTATTTTTTGCTTCTTTCAACAAGTTATGGTGCAGTGTTGCCTTAGGGCAATAAAGTCAAATTAATGAATGGAAAACCAATGGAATATCTCTTTATTTTCTCTTTTTATCAGTTTTCAACTCTGTTAGAATTCAGGACCAAAAAGTCTAGTGGCATAGGTCGTGTTTTTACAATGGAGAATGGGGAACAATTTGTGATGATGGCTGGGATTTAAATGATGCTAAAGTTGTTTGTCGACAACTTGGTTATAAGTTTGCTGTCAGTGCTTTACAAAGAGATTATGTTCCTGATGGCAGTGGGAAAATATGGTTAGATGAAGTTTATTGTTTTGAAATGAAAATAATATTTTGAGTTGTTCACATAGAGGATGGGATCACATGATTGTAAAACATGTGAAGATGCTGGTGTAAATTGTTCAGGTTGTGGGTACATTATTTATCTTTTATACAATGTTCAGGTTTGTATGTACATTATTTACCTTTATACAAAGATAATAAACTGAATTGTTTGGGGATCCTCAATGATGAGTTTAAACATTTAATATGGTTTTATAATACTGAAATAGATATTGACAAATGCCTGAAGAATAAACACAGCCCGACGTAAAATAACTAAATAAACACAACTGTTCCACGAGGGAATAACTAAACATAACCTATTTTATGATTGCCCATAAAAGATTAGATAATATCAGCAAAAGGGCACCATTGACCAAATTTTCCATTTAGGAGTAAGATAAACCTTATATTATCAGTTTTGTTACCATTCTTTACATTCATTATATCTTTTTGAAGCTAGCGTATGAAGCTCCATTTTTTTTTTTAAAGGGCATCTCCAAATTTACTTATGGTGTAACTTATGTCTTATAATATGCTGTCTATCTTAAAAATTCATTTTAAATTCGTTTTTACTGACCGTTAGGTTTAGCAAAGCCATGCCTAGAGAGCACCAGAAACACATTCTAAATAATTAAAAACAGTTATTTTGTAAATACGATAAAGATTCCACGTTGTAAACGAAGAGTTATGTGAACAATTTACTGTTTACTTTTTTTTCTTTCAAGTTATGGGCAATGTTGCCATATGGCAATAAAATCAAATGATTGAATTTAAAACCAATGGGGAATATTCGCAAGTTAAAGGGTTAAGAAGTTATTTATATTACATAAAGAATTGAGGACTTTACAAAATAAAAAAATTTTTAGACTCATTAAAGTCAAATAGTGTTTAATTGTCCAAAGTTTTTGATATTGTATTATGTAATTTTTAAATTATTTTTGTTACTAACTTAAATCATTAATTTCGCCCAAGACGATTTTACAATGGCATTTAACATAACAGGATACTTTATATGTATACATGTAACTCAGAAATGCATTTCAAAAAGCAAATACCATGCAATGTTGATAATAATGCAATTCTCAAAAAGAACTATTTTAACCAGAACACTAACCCAACAATTCAATGGAACCGTTATTTACAGCTAGAAAGAGACACTATGCATTTCGACAGACTACTCGGGTAAAATGTTCTGCTAAATGAGAACATCCAAATCATGCTATATTTGAAATGTTACAAAGGTCAATGTCATCCCTATTTTAGATATGACACTTAAAATAGAGACAGATTAAACACGTAATCCGTAATTCTAGCCATGATTAACTCAGCTCAACATGAGCTAGCCAAACAATTGTCAGTGGTACTTTCGCCCGTTTTGGAGAGATTTATACGCTTTAAAGACTCTTTTAATTTTACTGATGAGCTTAAACAACAAAATTTCAATGTATTTCAATATAACGATGTGTTCTTTTGATGTAACTAGTCTCTTCACTAATGTGCCCTTAGAAGAAACCATTGAAATTTGTGCTCAAAATCTTTATCACTCGGACATGACTTAGACTGACATGTCTGAGAATGCCTTAGAGAACTAATGATGGCTGCCACAAAGGGTGGAGTTTAGTTTTGATGACACCATGTATAAACAAATTGACGGAGTGGCTATGGGTTCTCCACTTGGACCGGTTTTGCGAATATTTCTGTTGGCTATCATGAATGCAAAATGCTTGCATCTTCAGATTTTCCGGATGTGCTGTGGTATAAGCGTTATGTGGATGAAACCTTTTCTTTGTTTCATAACGATAAAAATTGAACGTTTTGCAGAGTCTGAAATGCATAGTGTCTCTTTCTAGCTGTAAATAACAATTCCTTTTGAATTGTTGGGTTAATGTTGGTTAAAACAGTTTTTTAAGAACTATTACATTGTTATCACCATTCACCATGGTAGCGCTATTTTAAAATCCATCTTTAAGTTTGTCCCCACAAAGTCTCTGTTTCATTATGTAACTAAGATTATTTCAAAGTTGAGACTTCTATGTTTTGCAATATCTATTTATTTTCTTTTTTATCAGATTTCAACTCTGTTAGACTTCGGGGACCAAAAGTTCTAGTGGCAGAGGTCGTGTGGAATATTTTACAAAGGAGAATGGGGAAATTTGTGATGATGGCTGGGATTTAAACGATGCTAAAGTTGTTTGTCGACAACTTGGTTATGACTATGCTGTCATGGCTTCCAAGGAGGTTATGTTCCTATGGCAGTGGAAGAATATGGTTAGACGAAGTTCGTTGTGTAGGAAATGAAAATAATATTTTGAATTGTTCACATAGTGGATGGGGCTCACAAAATTGTACACATGATGAAGATGCTGGTGTAGAATGTTTAGGTTTTAGCTATACTATTTTACCCTTTATACAAAGTTAATAAACTGAATTATTTGGGGATCCTGAACAGGGCGGATCTAGCACTTTTCAAACATCAGTCATAACGTCGGAGGCGTCTGCACCTGAGGGGTCGGAGGCATTCTTTACCTTAAAAATGCCATTTTCAGCGTTTTAGAGCATTACAAAATGTATTTTGTGGTCGCCGTTTGCGTAAAACAACACATTTTGCTTACGTTTTTTTCAAAAAGAATGAATTGAACAATACTTGAGTGTTTTGTCAATTATTTGTCATTATTATGCCACATATTTAGCTCATTATGGCAAATACCATGTCTATAGGAACGTAAATATTATTTTACAAAAATGCTATTCAAAAACAGATATAGTCTTTAAAGATTTGTACCAACTTGTCAGGCATAGACCTAGAGACCCCATTCAAACCTCTATGTAATGAGTTAAGAAATTTAGTGCTACAAGTGACAGTTCATAGATATAGAAAAAGCTCAGACTTCAAACCATGCAAGTTTATTGTAACCTTACCTATCTCCACATCAGTGCCAGCAAATTCACCTTTAAAGGTCACCTGAAATGCTTATATAACTTTGCTTCATATGAAAGCTTAGCTAATGATTAGCCTATTCGCCAAATTTGAAAGTCCAATGTTTTATATTTTATGAGATATGGTCTTCTGAATTCATGACATTGACGATTTCCGAAGACCGAATTCAAATAGCGCGAGCGAATTTGAATTACCAAGCTGGGGCGAGTTTGATGTAATAGTTGCCATTGCATGTTTTGCTCAGTGCAGCCAGTAGCAGTAAAATAAAATTTCGCCAATTTTCTTTTGTTGTTGCTGCTTATTAATGCGTGTTTATCTCGATGTCTTCAACGGAGGAAGAAGTCGAATTTGACATCGAATATATTGCTATGGAGGTCCAGCCTTACATGTTTGAACCGCTAGCTAGTAGCAACAATGTTTGAAACTGACGAAGATCTGTCTTCGTCGTCGTCAACGGACAGCTCATCTGACGAATATACTCACAGGATTGGAAAACAAACTGGTGCGTTGCTTTTTCATGATTAACATTTCAGATCGCGTCATAAAATTTTTTCTTTATTTTAATGGCAGGTGTGAGTGTGGACACTGTGTGGCGATGACAACCGGCCGGGGAAGCATTTGTTGCCATGAGGAACCGAAGACAGACCCTAAAATTCATGGTGACCATTTATGCATCACAGAAGAACAAGAGTTTCACATGGTCTGCATCAACGAAACAGTCGTTAGAACAGCTATGGTTGTATTCCTTTACGATCACGGGGCAATACCAGACGCTCCAGAAACCGAGTCAGTTTCAGCTTTTTTGATATCTCCTCATATATCGACAATAATTTGCTTATGTTTGATTTTGTTTTGTTTCCCAGAACTTTGCGTTACACTGCCTATATGCAATGGACAGCATGGATACATGGAAAGCTTGGCAAGAAATAATATCGACTTCCTATACCATCCTGTGCTGTTAAAGAAATAAGGAAAGCATTTCCTTACCTTCTGGCATATATAAGGCTTTGAATATGCACAGCATTTATAAATACCTGTGAGTGTTAGACTTCAGTTTAGTTAAGATTGAATCGTGAAGTATGTTGTTGCACTGCTGTTACTTTTATCAACTTTTCAACTCTACTAGTTAGTGGATCTGGTATTTTTGTTGTCTTTCTGCTGCAATCTTGGTTTAAACTGGAATTAGCATGTCTGCACCTTATCACTTCTCCATTAGTTGTTTCACATAGTCTGTAAAACAGGGGAGAAGAATTAAAATGAGAAGTGCAAGAAGTACCATCAGTAGAACAATTATTTGGCTTTTGAGTGCTAAAACTTGTCCTTACCATAAGTACTATCAATTTTAACACCTTTGATGACTCCACATGACTGTCTTGATTTGGGGTGAGACACTTTCCACATTAATTCCCATTTTCTTTGTACGCCTTTGTTCTTTACTTCCATTTTCATTGAAATGGAGAGCAGCAATCAGTAATCTAAAAATTTAATTTTACTTTTAGTGTGCCACCTTGCAATCATTTTCAGTATGAAAACAACATTGTTTATTGTTTGTTTACCTAGCTTGCATTGCCTTGTAAAGGAAATGTGTATGCTTTGGTGCATATAGTATAACAACTCGATGAAAACCTTCAAGAGCTGATGTTTGTTTTTCATGGCTGAGCTTCCAATATCTTTCATGAGATACCTGCTTTCAACAATCGATGCCAATTCAGTAAATGCTCTAGATCCTTGGAAAAAAGATAGAAAATTTTATGGTGCCCATTTATTTCATATGTTGACAAATAACACCACATTGTGGCATTGGCTGGCAATTGAAGTTTGTTGATAAAGGCGGTCAATTACTGTAAATAACTATTATGTCTTATACCAGAGCATTTAGGATTAATTTGTACCTTTCTTCATCCATAAGCGAGGCTCAAGAGTACTATGCTCACATTTTGGAAATAATTCGCTATGACCATCATGAATGTTGCAAATGTGATTCAGCAATGATAGCCATTTAGCCTTAAGTAGTTTCTCATCACCACCACTACTTGCAGCACACCAGTAGACATGGTTAGATATTGACTGTGCCCAATCAAGTAGCAATCTACATCCACTCTTTTTACTGGCTGCCATTACCTTTTTTTTGATACCTGTAGAAAAAAACAGACACTGTACATTGGTTGAAAAATTGTAAGGCAAAACATAGCAATAATTGATCAAAATATCATGAAATTAAATGCAATTAGAAAAATTCTAAAACCTCTTAATCACTTGTTAATTTATGATTATAAAGACACTCTTTGATCAAATCAGGAAGTACTTTATTTTAAGACCCATGGCTGTACTTTGAGCAGCTTTGTAGCATTTTACCTTTGCCATGCCAAACATCAAAATAGTGCCTCACTCCTGGCTGTTGGGTTTTCATGTATTTTTTAACTTGGCAATGCCTGTCTGTGATAAGATGACTCACTTGAAGATTGTGTGACTGAATAAGTTTAAAGATCTTTTCAGTCCTTCCAATTCATTGCCCTGAATTTGCAACTTCATTTGACTGTAATAGATATATTAATGTAAATAAAATCATACAGTGTTTGGGATATGTATGTCTGCAAGTATGCATGTATGTTGGTATATATCACATGATTTAGTTACACACATTGTATTCATGTTGTATAAGTACATATTACACATTTCTTAAAATGTGTTTTCATACAATACTGTTTTGAATACAATACTATAAACTAATGAATTGAGCTAGTTACCTGAACTAATTGTGTGTCTAGAATTTTATTGCTTTCTAAATCCATGCAGCTGTATGAGCCATATTTTGCACAATAGCCTGGTGAATCACATCGTCCATCACCCCCAATAACAACCTGCTTTCCCTGACGCTCTGTCATCATAATAGTCTGGTGCTTTTTCCAAACATTCAAAACACTTGGAATAAGATATCCACTTTGTATATAGTTGTAGCACCTTTCAGTAAAGAACTGTACATTTGCTTGTTGAAAATATTGCAGTATTTTGGATGGGCTGTTACCACTAAATAGAATACTGGCAGATAGCAAGAGATTACCCAATGGCATCTGACTATGAGTAGGTTGACTATTCCAATTATTAAGAAAGCCACATGAGCATTTAGCGATGATGTTCACCATGCTTCCAATGCTTCTGGTTGATATCTTGCAGTGACCACCACAGTGTCGACACTGAGAGAACAACTTTCTTAGACAGCTGTCAAAAACTATATATTTTTTTTGAGTAACATCATTTTCCCTATAACATGGAAAAATTACTTATTTTTTATATGAATGTTATCTTGCTCTGTAAAATACTTGAAATGAACTTATGTTTTGGGTTATCTTATTTCAAAATGATGCAGACTAACTTACTCGGCAATTGATGCTTCATCATCTGACGATTCAAATTCTCTGAAACCAAGATATTCATCTGCGGTACTGTTGTTTTCCGAAGTGCTTATTTCAGCATCTGATAGGAAATCAACATCATTGTCGTTTTCATCTACGGATAAACTACCTTCCGTTTGAGTGCTTCTTGCAATTGTCGTGATAATTTCAGTTTCTGTCCCTGTGCAACGGAATAACATAATTAAGGAAACACTTTTCAAAATGTTTATTTTCCGCTGAGTTCATGTAAAAAATTAACCTTGAGACGTCACTTGTGCATTCGTTTGAGTGCGTTTGCTTTTGCTTCGACTGGGATTTTATATCAGATTGACACTTTACATGTCTGCGTTTCTACATCATCAAGCAACAGTTTAGGCTTTTGCACAAAACAAAACTGCATTGCATTCCCTTACCACTTTGTCAGTTTGTGTTCCATTGTCACTTATGTTACATTTATGTCTTGAGTCCAGTTGTCCATCAAAAACGAACATGTTTTTGATGTATTTTCGTCCTCGTCAGGCTGCTCTCAATGTTTTCCACGGAGTTCTCAAGGCTTCGTTTATTATCTGAATTGTATATGCGTTTTTTTAAAGTAATAAAATTACATTAAAACTGCTTGGCTACAAGACTTTACCTCAATTTTCTGCGCTTTGCATACGCGTTTCTAGTTGCCTCCGGTTTCCGTTTATCACCAACTTTCGACCTCGAATAGTCGAAGATCGTTGGTATTGCGTCTTTAACCTTAACCTGGTTGGTCGCCATCCTAAAGATTTCAGGACTCCGGGTTTTGGACAAAACAGCAGGCTTCAAAGTGTGCCGAACAGAGCTTTGACCTTTCGAAGGATTCCAATCTTTCCTTTTCACCTTATCGACCCATGCTTGGCGTAAAGGATTTTTAGCGGGGAAACTGAAAACCTAACTTTTTCCGCGCCTTAGATTGGTTCTTAGAAGAACCGTTTTTGCAGTTAAATGCCACTCAGTAAACCATCTTAAAATAGCCGATCAAAATCAAACTTTATTTATGAATTCATATTTGCCGCTTTCTCGCGCGAAATGTCAATGGCAACTATTACGTCACGCCAAATACTTTCCGACGATAAACCGACGGAATATTTTTTACTTCTATTCAAAAAAACACAAATTCACACGTTGATATCTCTTAAAATAATCATGGGATTGTTTTCAAATTTTCTTTGAATAGTCTACGAAATATATACATTTTATATGTCAAATAAACAGAAATATGAATTTTGCATTTCAGGTGACCTTTAAGAAAAAACTCAAAATTTTTTCTGCAAAGACTAAGCAAAATTATGAGAGTGAAAATTTGCAGTTAAGGACAGCTTAATGCCATAATGTTCATTAGGCATTTCACTTGACTATTATCTTCTGCAAGGTGTGCTATATAGCAATCACTAGTAGCATTGTATTATCAAATACAAACAGAATGTAACCAACATGTCTTTAATTATATAATTTCATGAATGTTAAAATTGGTTCATGTGTCATGCTTACTGGTTATGATAAATATCTTTTCATATGATCAAAGCTTGTTTAAATGTAAATCTGAAATAATATAGTAGTTTAGAAATTATAATGATCATCAGAAAAATTACCTAGTGATCATGAAAAATATTGCTGTTTTGCCAAATTTCAAGGTTTATCTGCATATATAGGAAAATATTTTTACTTTATAGAAAATGCTTTTCATACACCAATAGCCCTTTGGAATTTATGGCAAACAATCTGGTATGAGCCGTAGATTAACACACCTTTACATCTCTACATGAGGTGTTCAGTTAGAAAAGGGGACAATATGTGACATGGGACAACATTTCATGTATGTGAAATACTCAGGTTTAATACCATTCCAGTCAAATTGTCAAAATAAAAGCTTCATGGATCAGAAGACTCAAAATCACATGTTATAGTAAACAGCTTCTCATGTAATCAATGTTAGTTTTCTCAAATCTTAAAAAATATGTAGTATAACTGTCTAATGATTGAATGATCAATGATCATAAACTGAAAAGTCCCAAACATTTGTTTATGATAAAGTAATAACAGTATGGCGCCTTATGGCTACAGATTTTTTGGCCATTGAAATATATTTGCAGGAATGTAGGATTTCGCTGCCATATACGGTCACGATTCCCTAAGCACTAAAGAAATCCTAGCTAAAAGTCCTTCGGCAACAACAATTTTATAAGCATCTATCTGCTTACCATACGCCATATTAACATAAATCGCATCACACACTCGCATAAATTGACTTTGATATATTACATTCATGCATACACTTCAGTTGTCCTTTACTTACGATTTTGGATGTAAATTTCTGATGATAAAACTCAAAACAATGTTGGCTTGCTTTGAACATCAATGACTGAAATGTCGCTCGCGAGATCGTTTTGCCAAGCATTTACAATTCATCCATAAATTTTCGCCCTCTTGAAAAAATTCCCAGTTTGGTAAAGCAGCATTCATGTCAACATATGAATTTGTAAAAGATTTCCATAAATTCCATCTGATTGTAGTTTAGTTTCTATCATGCTTTAGAAAATTATTATGAAACGATCAAACATTCAATTCAGACAGTGAGCTTGACTATGTTAGTTCAGTTGGCTATCAGTCGAAATAGGTCAAACCAATCACAGTAAGACAAAATTCAAATGAACCAATTGTAAGATAGCAATTGGACTCCCTTATAGGTCCGGCCACCCTATTATCGGTCGAGATTATTCCAGACTGTCCACTGATCTGGCCATTGACCAATAAAATAGCGTTTCTGGCGTTCTTAGACTTCTTTATATGTCGAACCAGTCAAGCCACCCCGCTTATCAGTCGGTTATTCCAGGTCAATTAAAATTCAACTGATCTGGTTACCAAGGAGATATTCATTGGATTAGTCATTAGTTTTCAATAATAAATAAAGCTGGATTTTTATCACGAAGTAAATGCGATAATAAAGTAAGAATAATTAATGAATTTTTAACTAATATGAATAGGTAATTTTTGAGTTTCAAACATCAGTCGCGCGACGGATTTGACATACTCTAGATCCGCCCTGGTTTGTATGTATATTATTTACTTTTTATACAAAGATAATAAACTGAATTATTTGGGGATACTCAATGATGAATTTAAACATTTACTATGGTTATATAATACTGAAATAGATATTGACAAATGCCTATTTTAGAGATGACACTTAAACAAGAGACAGATTAAACACGTAATCCGTAAATCTAGCCATGATTAATTCAGCTCAACATGAGCTAGCCAAACAGCTGTCAGTGGTAGTTACGCACGTTTTGGAGAGGTTTTCAACATACACTTTAAAAGACTCTTTTACTTTTACTGATGAGCTTAAACAACAAAATTTTTCAATGTATTCTAATCTAACGATGTGTTCTTTTGATGTAACTAGTGTCTTCACTAATGGGCCCTTAGAAGAAACCATTGAAATTTGTTCTCAAAATCTTTTTCACTCGGACATGACTTTACCTGACATGTCTGAGAATACCTTTAGAGAACTAATGATGGCTGCCACAAAGGGTGTGGAGTTTAGTTTTGATGACACCATGTATAAACAAATTGACGGGGTGGCTATGAGTTCTCCACATGGACCGGTTCTTGCGAATATTTCTGTTGGCTATCATAAATGCAAAATGCTTGCATCTTCAGATCGTCCGGATGTGCTGTGGCATAAGCGTTATAAGGATGACACCTTTTCTTTGTTTCATAAGGATATAAATCGTGAACTTTTTCTTAATAAACTTTGCTCTCTTCACCCTGCACTAAAATACACCTCTGAACTAGAGTCAAACAATCAATTAGCTTTTTTAGTCGTTCTTGTACACAAACGCAATGATCAGTTCTTAACAAGCATTCATCGCAAAGCAACTTTCACTGGTCTGTACACACGCTTTAACTCTTTCTCTTCGCATAGAGAAAAGATTTCTTTAGTGAAGTTTTTGATAAAGCGATTGCATAGAATGTTCTCAAAAGAGTTTATTTATAGTGATCTTATCTCACTGAAGAGTATTTTTGTGTTGAATGGATATCAGGAAATTTTGCTAGACAAACTTTTCTTATCCAATAACAATGAACGGAATAAACTTTTTGGAACGGCCAAGTGCCCTGTTTTCCTTAAAATTCCCTGGATGGGTAAGGCCTCTAATGACATCGAGAAGGAAACTAAAAATATCACTGAGAGTTTGTTTTTTGCATGTAATGTGGTCTTTATATTCTTAAAAGAACAATTCTTCCACCACTCCCAAAGAGTTTCTCTGCTCAAATTTCAAGCAATGTAGTCTACGAGTTTAAATGTGAATGTGATTGTGGATTTTTATATAGGACTTCTTAAAGGTTGAGTGAAAGAATAAAACAGCATGTACCAGCTTCTGTCAGGAATGTAACTGTTCCTTTACGACAACTACCAAAACGTGGGTGTAAAAATGAAATTACGATTCTATGAGATTCAGCTATTGGAAAACATCTTTTAAGCAACACTCGCTGTGCCAATGCTTATTTTGATGAAAACTTTAAAATTATTTAAAAATGTCGCTCATTATTCCAGCTACGCGTCATGGAGTCGGTATTAATTAAATTGACTAATCCTGTCCTTTGCCGACAAAAGCATTACGTGCTTAATCTGTCTCTGTTTTAAGTGTCATTTCTAAAAATAGGGATGACATTGTCCTTTTGTAACATTATAAATATAGCATGATTTGGAGGATCTCATTTAGCAGACGTTGACACCTGACGAGTAGTCTGCCGAAATGCATATTGTCTCTTTCTAGCTATAAATAACGGTTCCTTTGAATTGTTGGGTTAATTTTCTGGTTAAAACAGTTCTTTTAAGAACTATTACATTGTTATTATCACCATTCACCATGGTAGTCGCTATTTTAAAATCCATCTTTAAGTTTGTAT